AGCAGATGTTGGACACTATTCACCAACCCCACGACTATTTCACCTTCAAAAGCTCGACATTTCAATGTGACATTAGCCTGTGAAGCAATATGCCAAACTCCTCCTGCTAGGGTTCTAAACTCAATTAAAGTTAATGAGTTGATTATATTTTACTATCTATTTTGTCACCATAGTATTCCAACTACCAGTATTCCTTAACGTTTTTATGACCTGTTTATTTATCATCACTTCTTCAAAATGTTTATTTAATTTATTCTCTCTGTTTTCAACACAACACGTTACATTATCCTTTATTTCTGTAGTTTTCTTATTCTGCCAACAGAATTTAGTTATATGTCCAAATCTGCCACATATAAAATATTTTGGGGGAGGTTTGTAATTTCTCTCCTCACTTACAAAATCACTCAGTGGAAAGGTTCTTCTTACACTTCCTGGGGAGCACTTATGCAGTATTATTTGTTTGTTGGAAGTAGTTCTTCTAGCTTGATTTTCACCTACTTTTAACCCACTATGTTTCATGTGCATTTGGTCGTTTCCAATCTTTTAACCATATTACTGTGTTAGATGCTTTGTCAAAATTTGCTCTTGCATTAAATCTACAATCATGTCATTGTCTCTGATACAGTTAGACCACTTCGAACCATTTAACTAGTATTTCGTGAAACCTTATTCCATACTCTTTGAATGAATCATTTGCCATTTTTTCTAATTCGCTGAACTTCCTGTGATAAGTTTCCAGATCCTAATTCATATGTCTCTAACACATGAATACGATACCCTATAACACGAGCGCTCGGGTTATAAGGTATTGTATTTTTGTGTTAAATAAATTTCTTGAACCTCCGTGTTTTCCTAACATCATATATCTCTAAAATAGTTGATTTCACTACAATATACTTTAATTGTATATTGATAACCCATTTCCGGGTAATGCAGAAAGTAATCATAACCCGTTGCTGCCATTTCTGTGTTCTCGATATTTTTTCAATAGCACAGAAAAACACATCTATATCGCTTTTGTGCTTCTTTTGTGCATGTCGGCTCTAGAACAGAATTAACTCGAATTCCCTCTGCTTATGTCTATCTTCTAACTCTAGCTCTAAACGTTTTTTCTCAGCTTCTATTTGCAAATGTTTATTCTCATCGTCTTCTCCCACACGTTTCACTTCTAACTGTATCTAGCTATTTCTAACTGTGAATACCACTCACATTTTGCGGAATTTCGCTAAGTTTAAGCTTTAAAAAATGATTTGTTGTGTTGTGACTCCTGGCTTAATTAAAGTTTGACCTATCTCATCTTTTCTTTTTTTTAATTGTTACTACATTTTATACCCTATTATCTACATTTATTTACCAACTTGTTATTAGTGATTTTCAATTCTCATTCCTTCTAGTGTTAATTCTCTATTCTTAAACAATGAACCACACAATTTATAACCAGTACGCATTAACTGAACCACCATCAAAAACAAAACAGGTGAGATAAGAACAAAAACATACTTACTCTCTTTCCCGATTTTGCTGCTTCACCCAGTTGATTTTTCTTCTCAATTTATGTTGATGTGGTTCTAACTGCAAGCTCTTCTTTCGTTGTTGGGTTTCATTTCCTAACAAATTGGTGAATTTTAATTCTTACAGCATTTTGTTGTGATCTGCTATACTTACACTTCACTCTCTCTTCGTATGTCCATCAATTTTATTTAGGCTGTACTTTCTCCATAAAAGGAATTGACTCTTACACAGTGCAAATATAAAACAAAATCGCTGTTTATTACTGGTAATCAATAACACGTAGATTTAGAGGTAATTCTTATTTCTTACTGACAGTATATTACTTTCTTCCTTTACCTCTCTGATTTATTCATCTTCCCTCACATCTCCCGGTCTTCTTTTTTTTTCTTCATTGAACTTCTGTTTTTTTATATTACTTTCTTAAACCCACGCTGAACCAGACCCTCTCTTTCTGACCTAGTACCTGTTTCCTATCTATCAGAGGATAAAGTTTCATAATCATAGGTATCTTTTAGTATCCATACCAGATGAACTTAAAAAGGTGGCTGCTATACCTGCTCAATACTTTTCTAAGGATTTAAAGTACTGTAATTTTTTGATTTCTTACAGACTGACTGAAGGTCAACTGTCTTCTAACATTCTCTCAACTTTGACAAATGCTATTTTACACCTGACTTCATAACAAGGACTCAAAGATAAGGTTTAAAAGATTATGGTTTTAACTTTACTTGAACTTTTCAAAATTAGAGTTTTGGGAATATTAGTTGTGAATCAATGATAAAAGTATTTTATTGGAATAATGCAATTCTTAGTTAAAGGTTTTTTATCTTGTTTTGTAGATTAATGTAATTCATTGTGAAAGGGTTGTGCCATCCATGCTTTTTGGAATGAGATTAAGTTAACGTGCTCCTTAAACATGTTGAACTTTAAACGTTATTTGTTTTATTGTTAAGTTTAATTTTTGGCTTGAGGACAGGCCTAAAACAGCCAGTGGAGGAAAAGTTTGATATGCTGGTTTATCATATGTTTTCTACCTACTTTTTTGTATAAAAAATTTGAAAAGTTTTTTATTCAGTTTCTTTAAATTTTAGCATAAACATGTTGTCCAGAAGGTTGATTGGATTATTTTGTACTGGTTGCTTTGTTTCATTGTTTTCTATAGTAGGTAATGTTAACTCTGCCTGAGAGGATATTTAACAATATATAGCAACTGTGATATCTTTTGATGGCCAGGTTTAACGTTGTTTGTACGATACCACTGACCAGTGCTGTGAGAGAATAAAACTCGAAAAGGGATGCTATCAAATGGACAATAAACCTATTGAATTCAGGTTGAATTTCTTTCTTAGTTCACTTCTAGTTAACTTTTATCGTGACTAACCTAGCAGAGATTCATCTTGAGAGACAGAGAGCTGACGAGCTATTCACTGAGCTAATGACCCAGTAGAGGTGATAGTTCACTTGTATAAACAGGTATGCACACGTTGTTGTTTCTAAATAGGTATTGTTTTCACTGTCCTTCAAATGTATCTAATCTATTTATATTTTAAGTAAATCAAATTCAGATAAGTTATCAATTACAGAACATTTCCCTTATTTATTGATCCAATCTTCTGGGTTTTTTTGTGGCTTTGTCTATTTGATTCTTGTCGGGAAATTATTTGTTTGTAGTTAAGCACAAAGTTACACAATGAACTATCTGTGCTCTGTCCACCACGAGTATGGAAACCCGGTTTCTAGCGTTGCAAGTCCGCAGACATATACCACAGTGCCTCTGGGGAGCTGTCGGGAAATAGATTTTTACAAACACCGCAGATTTACTGCTAGGGACAGTTTACGAACATTTTTACTTTTCTAGAATTTACTGTAAAGCTGTAAGAAAATCAATTGTCATCATGATTAGTAGCCTATATGCTCACCTATGTCTAATTATTACTTAGTAAATACTTTTTTGCATATTTCTATTATTATTTTTCTATATTTTCTATAACTAGACACAAAGTAATTTGTAACCTACGTTTCGGCTGCTAATCTGTTACAGTTCTGAGGGAAGTCTCGAGAATGACTGTTTCTGTGTTGTTAGTAGCCGGGACTCAACTCTGGGTCTGGTGGAAAATCCATTATAGACTGGGATTTTTTCCATTAATACTTGAATCCTACGCCTCAAATAATTAGCATTTGAATCAGATATTAATTTTGAAAATATCAGTATAACACACCTGGGTTTCAATTAAAATAACCCAGAATCGAATCTCAACCATTAGCAACACATAAATGAACCTTCTCGGATCTTTCTGAAATTAAGATAAAAATTAATAAATGTATAAAAAATATATTTAAGATATGTGCGTGTAAAAAATATTATTAATAAACAATTAGGCTCAGATCTCCTATTAGCAAATTTATCTTCAGTATTTATTATAATATCTTCATGAAATAAAAACCCAAATGTTCTGAAAATTTTAGATAAAAAAGAAATCTTTAATCACTACAGTATATTTCTTTACTATGCAGTATATAATCAATAAACTCACTCCAGGCACAAAATATTTGTTCATCGAAGCATTTAGATTTCAAGAGCTCCGGATTTTACAGTGTGCTTGAGTGTTTGTTTCAGACATAGCCGTCCACGATAGACTAGAAGGAAGGCAGCTAGTCACAGCACCCTCCGCCAACTCTGAGGCTACTATCATCGGACCAAATAGTGGTATTTGATCGTCACTCTTATAACTCACTCCCGTCCCAAAAGTGTGTAGTGCGTTTCTATGGCAACAGGCCTCGAGCGACGAACCATCTGATTCACACTGTGAACACACTAACCACTTGGCCTCGCCCTGGCCATGTAGTTGTGCACTAACATTTTCTTCCTCAAATGTGCTATGGCCAAGAAATCCCACAATTATTATAATAGTGATAAAAGTGATCATGTTTGTGTTTTATTATCTTATTATCAAAACAACCACGTTTATTTCGAAACAATTTTTATTCTTGTCATATATAATATACACTAAAAAACTGGAAATACACTCCTTAAACCTATTTTCATTATATTGTTTTATTTCTTGGTCAGTTCATCTGGTCCTGTTTTCAACAATGAAAACGTAGCTCTGGAGTTTTATTAGGAACATTTTGCGAAATTGAAATGAACAGTCGAGCTCACCCTGGCAATAACGGGACGTAAGAACGTAGTCATTTAATGTTACACTTGTTTTAATCCTTGAACATCACCTCAATCACAAAACGAGAAAAAAGTTCTGGTCGGATGGAGCTCTAAAAGCAAGTCCTTTGTACATCTTAATATTATATCAATTTATTCACATTTTCCCAGTTGACCTTTCCCTGGTAAACGTGTTAAAAGAAATGTCTACCCATGTATGTTAATAGTTACTTCTATTCTGATGATCTAACTGGTAAATGATAACAGGTAAGATAGTGTAAGATAACAAAATTAGCTGTAAATAAAAGTAGGTTTTGTTTGATCTCTATGGTAATTATATCGTTACACATACTTAAAAATTAAATATATGTTTTAGAAACTAAAACACACTTCATCACTTTCACTTGTTTGTTTTAACGTAAAGATGCACGATGGGCTATCTGCACTGCGTCTGCGGCAGAGATCTAAATCTGAATTTTAACATTGTAAGCCTCACACATTTACTGCAAAACGTTCAATTAATATTATAATTCGATTTTCAAACTAGCCTTATGGGTTGAACCTTTAGTGCTCTTTGATAGCATCTTTCTCTTCTCATAACTAATGCTTGTTTCCATTTAACTGAAAACCATTGAATATAGTTGGTGTTTAAAGAAAAACAACAAATAATAGTAAATTCTAACATAACTGTAACGGAAAAACTTTAAAACAGTTAATAACACACATATATCACAATTTTTATTGAACTTAAAATATCGACATCATTCAATTTCTTTATTTATAGAAAATGAAAATGCACATTTAGTAAATTTTGTAACTTTGTACTCCTGATAGTTAATACTATTGTGAACCCTTTACTTCTAATAAAAATAAACATAATGTAAACTTCAGTTATTACATTATTTACATTACTATGTGAAAATCATGATTGTATAAAATCAAAGTAATCTTATAGAAATACACATACATACACACACATACAAACCACTGTCTGTTGGTAACGATCAGTCTATTGGTAACAGATTGCCTCAGTGGTTAGAGGGTCCGAACCTCAAGCGGAATTCCTGCTTTCAAATACCAGTACACTTGGTATTTCTTCAATATTTTTATTGGTGATAATCATGATTAGAGCAAATATTTGGAAAACATGAATACCATGCTATTTTAAAGTAATATTTGTTAACATTGGATTTTATAAACTATGTGGCAAAGTAACTCAGGCGTTACGGCCCCAGACTGTTTATCTGGAAGTTTCGCGTTCGAACTTGAGTCGTGATCTTATATTGTTGTTTTTTACAAATGATCATATTTACAGTAATCTCTTTTAATAGAATTATAGATTAAATTAGTGATTTGAGATATTGGTTAACATTAGAATTAAAAGATGGCACGTTTATAGCATTAAGCGACTTCAGCTTTTCATTTCATTTGAACACTTGTGGCACCATCTATGGAATAAATTCTAAATTAAAATTCTGAATAAAACTAAAAATATTTCAGAAACAGTACAAGAAAGGAAACGTTGCTTACTAAGAAAAAGACAAACTAGATGGATGGCATGACAAAATCAAAAAAGGTTAGCAGGATAACCGAAAAAAGAGATGAGAGAAAACAACTGACACTGTCAAATGAAGCTCCTGGAGAAACAAAGCAAAGAAGACAAATTGATGCTGAAAGACATGCAAAGGGGTTCTAGCCCTTCTATGTCTTTCCCGTGCATTGAACAGTTACTGTATATATAATAATAGTTTGTTACTTCTACATTCTTATGACAGAACAAATTAGAGCCATGTATGTAATGTTTCTTTATCACATTGAACTAAAAGGCTGAACTTATGAAAAACGCAGAGATGCCTACGTTCTAAAGGAATAAAGGATCTTGTTCGTCCAGAATTAATAGGCAAAAGACATTCTTTTACATTGAACGCATATCTCGTTTTAAAGTATACAGATGCTGACGGCAGGATTACTGTCCGATATACCTTCAGCATTTAACCAGTTCATCAGAAGTTTCTGTTAGTGTAATGAGTTTGATTTTAAACTTCATGCTTATTGTATTGCCCCTAATTAACGCCCCCTCGGTATTTTTATAAACTTTGTGTGATAGCAAGAGTAATCCAAGATATAATCCACTTTTATTACCGCAATTTGGATTTGTAAAAAAGGAAGAAAAACAAACACACATATACATAGTTATTAGCAAATTGTGAAAATTAGAATCCTGAACTGCACAAATACTATAATTAGCGCCTTCCTTTGCAGCTTACAACGCCCCCGGGAGCGTTAATTAGAGGAGGTACGGTATTTTCCAGGTTACTCAGACATGAAAACTAGAACACTGTAAATTGTATAAATTAAATACTTCACTATATTATTTATACAGCTAACTAGTACAAACACATGCATTTAAAAACGGGGCACATCTTATTGGCGCTTGAGTTGTTGAAATATTTGTCTACCATTGTACTCTTCCAAAATCATTCTATTTTATTCAGATGTTTACAGTTTCCTTAGAAAACATGTTTAGTGTAGTAGTACCTATGTGTGTAAAGTTTCCAGGATCAATCAATGAATGGTGGGAACACAAGAAATTTAAACTAGTCAGACATATCAGTTTAAATGATTCAGCATGTAATAATATTGAGAGTCTACAAGCGTTGTAATTGATCTTAAACTATATTCTCTACAGTTATTTATTTTCGAATGCGAATGATAGAGACCGAAACAATTTAAGTTATTACCAACAAATTTGAAACTGATTTTGAAAAGTGTTTCTAATTCTTTGTTATTTTCTCAAACCAAAATAAAAATCATAACATACACGTATTGCAGTTGTATAAAAATGTCATTCATGGAGTTTTCTGAGAGCATTAAGAAACATTTCATTCAGAGTGTCCATCTGTCGAGGTTGGATACTGAAAGGTCGAGAGATTCGACGACCACTGTCTGTAAAAGGCAGAAGTATCATAGTTTTAATATATTATAACAGCTATGTTGAAAACTCTGCAAATGCAAAAATTAGACTTCTAAATATTTAGAAACATCAAGCACTTTACAACCTTTGCAGATTAACTAATTAGAAATTTGGCAAATTTTGTTTTGAAACAAAGTAGTTATTCAAGCAAGTTTTATAAGTTGAAACTTAGTTGCTTTATGTTTCTATAAAGTTTGGGCAGGTAATAATAGCTAAATGGACCATATAATTTGATAAAATAGCTTATTTTTAATTTTCACCCACAAATAAACAAAAGAATAGCACAACGACAATAAAGAACATACAACTATTGTATAGTTATTTTTACTGTTTAAGAAATAATCAGCTTTGAAACCTGTGACTCGACGACCTCCATCCTTTCCACTCTAATCAGCAGTTTGTCCTATGTGTTCACGTCAGCAGTCAAGGTGCCATCAGTTTATGTGGATGAATGATAATTTTGGCTGAGATGCAGCCCCAAATTTGTACTGATCCCTTTAGATGTCGTACATTGAGTATAATATGGTTCTCCTCCCCTCTCCACCGCCAAATAAACTGTCAGTGATTACTGTGTCATTTTCACGTACATTATTCAGGGTCATGTATACAGCTCCTTCTGAAACATGAGGTCGTGCCACAACTTACCATACGGAATATCCTTGACCGACCACAACTTAGATTTCTACACGCTTTCATACTAAACTTCAGTTTTGGAAGCTGTGACTCAATACACACTACCACTACTATTTCTGCTGAGCATAGTTTGACTGCCTGTACTTTTATAGTCTTTATACTGGTGTAGAACTTTCTGATTGGTTGAATGACAACCAGTCACAATGTAAGCTATCAACACGTGACTATGCTCTAGTGCAATTCATTTTCACTCAGTAAAGGGATGGTATTCCAGTATAATTTGATTTTTATAACATTTTTCTTTACCTCTTCCCTACTTAGTTCCAATCTTATATATTACATATCTGAAGTGTATATTTTTATAAACAAGGTTATGTTATCTAAAATATTTATGTGTCATATATGGTTCATGTTATTGTCAATAGATGACGCAACGTTCGAGCGTTAACTAATTATTTTCATCTTGGCATGTCTCAATGCTATTAAAGTAAGTTCTTTTGACAGAAGATATGAGTTACATGTTATTCATTAACATCAATATGGGAACATCATTAGACCATGTATTTACATTGTTTTATAAATAAATGTTCTTTAGATATAAAACACAGCGATTTTCGTATGACTTATGCTATTTAAATACTGCCAATAAGATATGTTCACTTTGAGTCAATCATAATGACCTAATGTTAAAAACACATGACATAAAACTGACATACATTTATGAAGAGAAATTACTTAACTTATAGCTGAAGAACAAAAATGAAACCTTACCGCTTGATCTCCTTCTTTCAATCAACTGAGGCTCCGACGATTCGATCAGCGGCACAGGTTGGCCACAATATAGACCTTTAAACCCTAGAAAAGGGACAACTGCCCTGGCCAACAAGGACTCCAAACGAAGTTTGTTTTTGTTCGGAGGAAATGTATCGTTTACATTCTGGGCGAAGAAACAAAATAAGCATTATTATTATTTGATTACTCCTACAACATACTGCTATTCCGTCAGCACGACTAACAACAGGGAACATTGTTTCATTTAAGTGCTACAGTTATACTGAAGGAAACATTCCCCACCTTCAGCGTTCCAAACCACAAAACTCAATTTTAAGTACTGTATATAAATTGTATTTCAATAAACCTGCCTTAGGTTTAGTACAGCTGTTGAGTTCTGGTATTGAAAGTAAAGCGTACTGGGCCGGGCTTGAGACACACAAATGTTTGTTGCTAAGCGCAAAGCTTTCCAGTGCGTTATCTGTGGTGTGCCAACCACGGGTACCAAAATCTGGTTTTTAGCGATAGAAGTCTTCAGACTTGCCCATAAGCCATTGGGGGCTCACACAAACGATTTGAAATTCTATATTTAACCAACACTGATTCGAAAAATCGCATTGAACTAATTAAGACTAATAGTAATTTTTTTCGTAGTTTTATTTTCTTTACCAGAGTTATCATAACACTACACAACTGTATCTAATACAACTGATTAGGTTTTCAGGAAATCTTACATTCAGTAAAAGCATTTAATGGAGATAAAAAACTTGTGTAAGTTCAAAATATCTAACACGTGATATCATACACCATAATACTTATATGTAACCAGAGGAAACTCTCAATAGCCGTGTCTGTAATTAGATCTCAAGTCGGTCAAGAGATGGAGTTATGAACTAAAAGTTTGTACTTGAAAAAAACTTAGAGCCATTCTATGAGCCGTTATGCCGCGACTAAAAATTATCCCAACTACAGTATAGTTCATAATTATGATTTGTTAATATACATAAAATGTCAGTTCTAATACAATTTATTCCCAAAGTAGGAATATGGCGAAACATTGCAAATCATATAAAAATATTTGATTTTTTGCAAGTAAGATATTTCTCGTAACGATGTTCATGATACAGATTTGTTTGGCTTATACACAAAGATTGACTATGATAACATTAAAACGATTTTACAGTCCTTGTTGCTACGTCCAGTTATGCTCGATCTACGACCATGCTTGTTGACAATAGTCCTGCAGCGTAGTTTCCATTGCAAAAGGGTCCGTGTTAAGGATATCTTTTCTATAATATATAATTCTTCTCTGACTATTTCTATAATGCATCTAATGCACGGGAATGACGCCTTGTCAGGGCCTGTTTCCACAGTCCGATAGCACAGAAACCTATAGGCTACATTTTCATATGGAAGAACATGAATACCATTCTCTAGCTGTTTGAGGTATGCTAGAGTTGAACGATATGTCGTGGAAGCAGCTTGTGTTGCTTTTTCAGTCGGAGATCCTTCTTCATTATGTTGCATATATTATTGCCTGGGGCACATGGACAGCTTTTGAAGCTGATATCTGTATTCGTGAATTCTCAATTGTTACAAGACGCTGTATTGTGCATGCTACAGCTGGGTTACTATTTGTAGAAGGTATCTTTCTAGATGGTCCTGGTACCCCAATTAGATCCATTTTTATTTGTTTTCTAATCCCATTAAGTACAAGAGATATCTCCATCTTGGAAATTCAAAATTCCCGATTTCAACACATCTTTATGATCTGAGTGAATGAATATTTTGTGTTGGAAAGGGCTGTTACATACATTTCCCAAAATCGATCATTTTTCGGTGGAGTCCCACAATGTACAAAAGACCAAATAATATCCAAATATACTTCTATATATTTCTTTCCACCATGACTTTATATTGGTTGTGAACTATCTCAACCATCTCTATATGCAAAACAAAAAATAACTATATATGAGAATCAAAATTGCTAGTTTGATGTTATTTTGTCAACAAAATTAGTAGGTATGTTTCAATACACTTGTTTAAACATCATCTCGATTTCATTAGAACTATTTAAACACTATATAGGCGAATGCGAGGTTATTTTCTTAAATCAAAGTTTTCCTTATTTATAATGTACTTTAAAAAAACACGTACACGAATAGTTAAATAGAGTTTTGAAAATATATTAAACAGATAATTTCCATAGTTGTAAATTTTTTCATGTAATGTACAAACAGTATGCTCTTGATAAATGTTTTCTAACTCTAAAATCATGAGTCGATGGTATAGATATTATTGACTATTTTGCACATGACGATATCTAGAAAACACTAAAAACGACTAATATTACCTTTCAATAATAATCTAGTTTTAGAGCTTTCGAACAATACAACTTTTGCAGAGATAACTTCATTTGAATATAGGTTATTTTCCCAGTTTATGTCAAGGTTTTGGTGAAAGTTCATTTCCTTTAAAGCTATTTACATTTTGACGACCTGTTTTCAGTGATAAAATATCCAATATAAACTGGGAGATTGTCCGAAAGCCATGTTTACCCTAGTTTCAGTTGCAACTGCAACGTTCCAGATGTGATGATATTTCCGTGGAGTTGAGACGTTGAAGATGTTGTCAAGATGTGGTTCATATTAAAGTTAACGTAATCAGAAGGAAAGGTCGACCAAAAACGTTAAAAGCCAATTAAAGAGGACAAGAAAACTGCTCAGCAGAATAAACACGAGGAATGGGATACTTTGTTCTTCTCATCGTAACCACTTTCATTGTCTTAGATCACTTGGTGTTTGACAGACTTCGATATGATTGATCAGGCCTCAACGAACGAAAGTTATTTCTACTAAATATGCAGTGTGTCTGTCCTATGTAGAAAAATATTCTATAGCGCAAATGGAATGTCCCTGAGAGAGAAAGTAGCCTTGCTTTAGGAAAAATTTCATCAACATCAAAACAATATCTTATGAGTTTCATTTCGTTTTTGTTAGCAAGAGATCAAACCCTAAACTTATGAAAAAGTGTTCAAATGGATGTTCTGGTACGATTGACTCACGATGTTAAGGTTAGAACATTATTAACAACAGCAAAAAAATTAACTTCTTAAATATTTCATGTATTTTAATCATACTCACATATAATATTAAGAGCATGTGCTTCACGCCAGGTGGCATCTCCGTCGCCTCAGAGGAAAGAATGTCTAATGTAGAAATAGTACTTATATGTATATACAATCACTGACGTTTATCTCTTCGTAGAATTTTATTTTATACACACATCATATTTGTACTATTTCAAAGAAGAAAGAAGGATGTTCGACACTCTTCTGTTATAATAGTTGTTAAGGCTGTAACAGTTCTGTTCCTAGTTATCATTAGGAAATAGCTATTATTAAAAATAATAAAAGACGTATGAGACGATACTTTATGGAATTCCATGATCCACAGTTTCTAAATTGTTTTTTTTGTTTCTACAAAACAACACAATCATGTTAAAAATATTTATTTAACAAAATATACGTTTTTCAAAAAACAGTTCTCGCAAACTCTGTAAAAACTTGCACAAAATATTTCAGTAAAAAATGACCAATAATGTCTTATATTAAGTTGTCAATAAAACGTGACAAAGAAAATAAAAATGCAATATATTTCTAACAAATAATACTTAGTATGCGTATTTTAATAAAATGTTTCAATTATGGACTTAAAACTATTTTTAAAGAATTTTCTAGTAACTATGTCTGTTATCTTAGTTTTAACTAACTGATACAGTTTGGTTATACTGATACAACTTTCAAGAAGTAAAAATCACATTAAAATTGTACAAGGTACTTTTCTAATGCATGAAAAAATCCGACCTGTTGTGTTAGTTTTTATCAATAACTCACAAAATATTTACTTTATCCGAGAAATCTGGATATTTCAAAGATTACAAAAAACGAAAAAAAACACACACATAAAAACACGACCTGTTGTGTTATTTTCTATCAAAAACTCACAAAATATTTACTTTATCCGAGAAATCTGGATATTTCAAAGATTACAAAAAAAGCGAAAAAAAACACACACATAAAAACACCGTGATTCTAAAACGTAAGGAAGAGTTAGGATAAATATATGTCACAATGGTTTGAGTTGTAAAAACCCATGAAAAATGATTAATAATAACTTATGAAACATCTCGGATCTAACAATGTGGCAATTAAACACCAAACCAGCTCAAGGAAGTTTCAACAGATAACAAGAAGAATTACTTATGGCTTAAAGAGTAAATTGCTTGTTTCCTGCATAAAAAAAAACCTTTGATTAAATATGGCTCAGTGGCTTTATTGTTAATTTTATACATGGCTTTCGTTAGGTACCATATATTCATACTAGATGGAACCATATCTTTATTTCTCAGCGAGAAACAAAATAAAACATTTCTTCTAGGCATTGCTTAGTATCCTGATGACATAGTGTATTGATCCTTTTCTACGAGACAATTATCTCATTTTTTCAAAATATTAAGTCAGACTTAATCGATATGGAATTATGGGGAATTTTTAGCTGACTAAAAATCGATCCCGACAGAACATAATCAATTGTATATTCCAAAAGAAAAATTAAATCGAAAACAAGATGAACATACTACAGATGAATAATGATATTAATAAACAGTGAAAGCTAAAAATGAGATAAAATGAATAAAATATTAAAGTGGAAAACTTAATTTAATGATGTAATTAAAAATCAAAAAATAGGCAAAGATAAATAGCCTGAAGAAAATTACTTTTAAATAGAATAGGTTTTCCACTACAGCAGTATTTGAAAGTTTTACTGTATCTGTTGTTTATATTATGCGTCTTGTAGCCAGACTAAAACATTAATTTCAGGGCTTCACATAGCTAATTGATTAGCATGCTGGGCTGTGGATCGATAGATCCAAGATTTGAACATCGATATATCACTTAAAATGCTCCACTCTACAATCATGAGGCATTACTACCGCTATAGTCAATCCCGTTTCTCGATCAAGAGTAACCACGTAGGAATTGAATCCTGTTGACCGGTCAGCATTTTAAAATTAGGGAATGACTTTTTTTTTTAGCCTTAGAATTTAGACACTATTCTTTAACCCACATGTCGCATAAGGTACCGCCAGGTTGGAAATTCAAATACCAACACTTTTTCCAACCGATGGTTGTACACATAACAGCAAGGATTTTAAACATCACCATTATCATTTTTGGTGAGATATTTGAACCAAATATAAACCATACTCAAGTTGAATAAAATACCTTCAAGCGGCTTATGGAGTTTATGCTACACCAAATTCAGGCTATTTTCTCGACCAAAGGTAGTCCAAGTCAGTATTAAGAAGGAGGGAGTCTATTAAAGTTAAAAATCATGTGTCGTTCTTATTTATTTTCCTGCTCATCTACAATTAATGACAAAATATATTTTAGTACATCAGGTAGATGGTAACGCAATGTTTAAAGTATTGGAGAATTCGTAGGTGAGATCATTGAATCCTTTTGTGGTATTTTCAGGTAAAACCAATTTCCTGACAAATATCAGATAGGTAAACCCACAAATAAGAGCAGATTCGATCAAGAAATAAGGGGAATATTCTGTGTTTGATAAGTTGACTGGGTTTCTTTAAGTGTGGAATAACGAGAGTGGACAAATGTAAATAACCAAACGAACTATTTATTATGTACAGCACAGACAGAATCACATTCGATTTCATTGGAGCGTGTTTAGTCTAGAGCTTGTTTTCCTTCGGAGCGATTATATTAAAGTAAGTCTTCACTCGACGATCTCTTAATAAAAGAGGCTCAAGAAAACATGTCTGAATTTAACAGGTTGATTCGCTTTCTTTGTCAAGGTCACAGCGTCACCTCGGCACCTTTGCTCTCTCATACCACTGGCCGACCTTATCTTTTAATCAACGCTAACTCGGTCAATAAAGGTTAATACATTGTCAGTCTTTTCAACCTGTATGCTATATGCTACTAGATTATCCTATCTGGATGAATAGACACTACCTACTATAGAGAACAAAAAACAAAGCAACTTGAACAATATAATTTGAACGACTCTCTGGACCAAATGTTTGCGCGAAAATTGCATGCAAACGAAATAAATAAAATAGTTTAAAACAATTCTATATCACTAAAACAAATAGAAAACATATGACATGTCTGCATACCACAGTTTCATGTATTAGCCTACTCACGAGTGAGAAGATGCGTCAAAAGAAAATATTGATATGGTATTGTATTTCATCATATTATTTCAATTGAAGATAATTTAGTCCTTAACCCCAAAGTTTCTTAAGCTTTTCGTTGTACTCACTATTGTATTGACTAGTTTTATATCACAGGTTTAAAAACTTTTACCAAAAATTACTGTTTATAAGTACGTTATAGCTAATTGAATGTAGTTGCATATAGCGGATAATAAGTAAACGACAGTACTTCATTGATACATGCAAATTTTATCTTTACTCATCCTAAATAATCGCCCACCCTATCCAGTGGCTCAGCGGTACATCCGCACGCCTACGACGCTGATAATCGGGATTCGATACCTATGGTGAACAGAGCACGGATGACGAATTGTGAAGCTATGCCCTTAACAACAGCAAACCAATCAACCTAAACTGTCGTTCCAAACATACAGAAAATGTTTGACAATTGTTTGAAACAACTAGAGAAGCAGATAAAGTTTCTTAATTTTAAACCCCTACAGTACCACTTTGTAAAGCATATATAGGGAAAGCGTATTTATTTAGAATTTTACTGTAAAGCTGTACGAGGGCTACCTTCGCATAGCCGTCTATATAAGAAAGTCAGCTAGTCAATAGTATTCACCGCCGACTCTTGTGGCAGAATAGTGGGATTTGATCTTCACTCTTATAGCGCTTTGTGGACTTGTAGTTGGAACTGTTATATATATATGTTGACACAAATAATAGCTTCTTACTAGCGAATTAATACACTTAATGCAAAACATGGAAACTACACTGGATACCTGTGCGTATTGCATTTATTATATACGACTTATTATCTAAAACTATTTGTAAAATCCCTTGGAAATAGATATTGTGGCTTACTAACTTTTATAATTAATGGCTTCATTGCACCTTTTAAATGATAATACAATAACCATGAGAATATATTTTCATCTTGTCTTCTTATGCTGCACGAGTTAGAAAATTATATACATTCTATAGACAGGATGATTAAAAAGCTACACCCGTCCCACCGAAGGAGGGACTAGGTCTATAAAATGGTATTGAAAACCAACCAAACAAGATTTTTAAAATTGTCTTTTGATGACAAACTTACAATACCTCATTCAATGCTATAGCAAAGTGTTTGCACACATATAAATAGATTCATAGGCATAAGAAACAATAGAGCCATAGTAACGAGTGTGTATGTGTGTGATAATGAGGCAGGCAGTTGTTTGGTGATAATATTAATAAACCCAGATAGATATATACATAACAAGTCAACGATTTTTAGTTGTCCTATTGGCCGAATAAGCCAGTAGGTACCTACGTGTATGGATACACTTTTTTTCGCTGACTTTGATTCAAGAGAAATTTGTGAAATGACAAACTTTTAAAGAGGTTGAAGTTTTCTATTTGCTGCTTATTGTAAATTGTAACGAATTATTCAAGTATTTATATTTTCAGTTATAATCACCTATACGACAAAATGATTATCAGATATATTTTACTAAACATTCTTTCTTAATTAGACGACCCCCCCCCCCAATGGCACAGCGGTATGTCTGCAGAACGCTAGAATCCGGGTTTCGATACCCGTGGTGGACAGGGCACAGATAGCCCTTTGTGTAGCTTTGTGCTTAATAACAAACAACAATAATTAAACGATTTTTTCTTTTTTTCGAGGCATCAAGGAATGTGGGTTCTTCCTGCCTTTGTGTTTATATTTGCATTAATACAGTTTTAATTAAATTAATAAGTAAGCAAATTGCCTTGTTTTTTTTTTTAATTAAAGAAAAGGCACTGTCGTTGGTAGAAGCCAGGTCCTAAATATTGATATCTTACCTAGTTTAGTAATAAAGTTGTTGTTTTTTAACTGAGCAGTTGAATATCAACCCTAATATTACTTCACTGACTTTAAAATTCTAACCCCTTTTTCTCGGTGTTGTCTTTGTGACACAAAAAGCAATTCCCAATTTAAAAACACCGTTATTAATCGTTCTCAGGTTACCAAGCTTGCAATACAAATAAACATGCATTTGACACAGGACACGCTATGTAACATACCACGGTTTACATTACATAGTCACTATCAATCCTATAACCTCTCTCATAACAACATTTGTATCAATGTAGCTGAAAACGAGATAAAGATGATATACATAATTTAATCCAGATCTTTGTATACTCAAACTAAGCTTTTTTTATGGTAACGTCTAACTATTGAACAGCAATCAATCACTTATATATTATAAGAGCCAAAACTAGATTCATTCACATAATCGTGTAGTTTATTTTCAATCAGTCCTGTACTGATTAGGTGCCTGATTAAAATACATATGCATAATGATAGCTATCTCTAAGATGTAACGTTAGAATTAAAGGCAACCTTGTCTCTTTCGCCCTTTAACCCTCCTATTTCACTCATCAACACAGCTGTTGTATGTGTTACATATGTACGGGTGTATCTCTAACTGTAACTGGTGTCTTTACATATTAGGTGGCGTAAAAAGCTTCGAACAGCTGTAGAACTTTGTTGTTGTTTTTTTAAAGTAGTTGAACAATTAAATAGCATTAAACAGGTATATGCTAGCGTAAAAAACTAAAAACTACTGTTGTGTAAATTTTTACAACAGAATAGAAAAAAGTAAGATACTAATTTTAACACCTTTCAGATTAATGTATAACTGTATGTGGACAAGTCATAAGCATTACACACAGAGTTACAAGCATTTCCATCATTTGCGCTATAGTAACGAAATGTTATCAACGCAAATTAGTGGAGGACTATCCGCATTAGCCGTCCCTAATTTGGATATTAACTGTGACATTAGATCACTTTCACAATTGAAAAGACGGGTTTCGATCCAAACTCTAGATTGCGAGTCGAGCGACTTAACCGCCAGGCCATGACAGGCCTATGTTACAAATAGGAAATTTTCTTATGTGTATATTCAAATAAGATGAAAACAATGAAACACCCTTATTTAACGGTAAAAAAAGGGAATTTATCTGTAAAGATTTTGAATGAACTTGGTGATATCGAAAGATTTTCAAGGTTCTTCAAACGATAACATTGATAGTGAATCCTTATTGAAAATATTAACTAAATAGGTAAACAGACTAGTTAGTTTATATCTATTTTCATTAACGATTGTATTTGTATTTTGTATTTATGTCAAAACTACTAAAGCTATTTGTCCCTAATTTTGACCTACCGTCCAGAGGGAAGGCAGCCATTTAAGAGCTCCTATCACCAACCATCCATTCTAAGTAATTGTCAGTCACTCTTATAACGCACCTACAGTTTAAGATACTGATAATTTATTGTGGTATTGCACAGTTTTGAACCCGGTCTGATAGCTTCGAAATCCAGAGTTATACCATAGGTACAACTTGCGCCCCACTATTGGGAAAAATACAGTACGTTTACTTTTCCTCTAATAGCTCTCATATTCTTTCCAAACTGAAAATATTCTTGAGATGATGAATTTATAAGAAAATGTTTCCAAATGTTTAATTTGTTTCGAAGCACGAATGTACACAGTGGGCTATCTGTGTTGAGTCCAATGTAGGTATTTTAGCATTATAATCCCTGAAACTTATTCCTAATCCACTGGAGGGATTTTCAAATTTTCGGGAAAAATTATTCAAACTTCATTTTAATGTAATCAGATACAGAGTACGTACTTCTACACTAGTTCATTACAATAATAATACTGTAGAGCGATGTTTAATCATAAAGTTACTCATTAGAAAAAGTAACAAATCATAGTGAAGCAGTTTGTAAGATTGTGATGTGAAATATGCTGTCTCAATTGATGTTTACGTACAAACTTTTTACATTTGGTTTTAGTTTCACTCTTAGCATTTCAAAATTAAATTAATTCTGTGTAATAATAATATTATAACAACTCTTCAGTTGTATAAAAATCTTTAAAATTTTACATAGTTAACAAAATAATACTGAAACGTCTTCTACCATGACATAATGATCCTCATTGTTGTTAGCCAGTTATTATTTAGTTGTATCATTTTACTTCAGTCATGAAGAAGCACAGACATTAATGTAAATATCAAGTTTAAAAATGGCTTTTACAGGCTTACAAATACTCTTGAACCGTTTCCAATAGGAAATCAGGATAAGAATAATAATAAGCGTATAATATTTAACGTTACTATATTAACATGATTTTCTTTTGCTGATGTTATTCTAATTATAACAGTTTTGCAATCTAATACTTTTGAGATAAAAAATTACTTCCCATTTGCGTATACGAAAATACATGTAGTTCACTAGATTCACATGTGTTTCTGTGTGTTTACTGGAGAAGAATGCGATTTGACGCATAGAGCAAATATGAAATTCTTTTATGAACAATTTGGAGTTTCTTATATTTTTTTTGTGTAACATCTAAAACATTTTTATAAAAATAAATAAATACTAATAAAATAATCTGAATAAGTTGTTAGCTTAGGGGAATATAAATTGCAGAAAAGAAAAGACAGTAAGTTATAAAAATGTTATATTATCAGATAACATTTGCAAATTAGCGCATGAACCTTAGATCTAAATGTAAAGAATGTTTTATTATTTGTTATTCTAACAAGTCGTAATTTTTTATATCGTTGCTATCAGCTGCACTTTCAAGAGGAATTTTTATAAGTTGCTCAAAATTGTATGACAAGATACAAACGTTATTATAAAAGCTAAGAAAACAAGAAATCGTTAAAAATGCACAGAATAATTTACTTATTACTTACAGAGTGTAATTATCATAATAACCCATGTAAAGAACACAAATAGATCAATGAATCGGCGAAAGCAAATAACACGTTTTAGATATCATGTCTATTGTTACACAATAGACTATCTGTGCTGTACTCATCACAGGTATCTAAACCCGATTTATAGCGTTATACTTCCGCATACTTACCGCAGTGCCACTGGAGGGCTATTATGTCTAGCCATTAAAATTATATCGTTTCATTTATCTTTAGTTTTCAACGCTCTTCAAAGCAGGAGCACATTTTGAAGTCACCAGTATATAATAAGTGTGATAAAGAAACAAATATACAGTAATGCTTTTATATGTGATAGAATAATGCATAATAAACATTAGATATTTCCAGCACAGTCGGACTGATGCTTACGAAATGTGTGAGCTATATCCCAAGTTTCGTTATACATCCATAACTTCAGACATATCGTGTTTAAAAGTTGTTGTTCTATGATAGGAATAAGAACATACTTACCTTCTATACCAAGATCTAAAACAACTAAGTCACGAAAAGCTGCTAGCGTGATTTGTCGAATACTGATACCTTCTCTAGTCTGGAAGAAAACAATGCGATGCAAATACTTAGTTTGTCGAACAGTGATGCAGCTTTTAATCAGATAAATAACAAAAACTATTGGCATGTAGTTTGTCAAGTAGTTATACCTCTTCTAATGTAGAAGAAACGAAAATTATTGGTACGTAATCTATCAAACACTGGAATCTTCTCTATTCTTTAATAGTTAAATGGCGGTAAAGTTTTGTTTTGATTCAGATTTTTGCCCAAAGCTATACAAAGGTTATTTGCGGATTGACCCTCTAATTTTGAACTGCTAGACTAGAGAGAAGGCAATTAATCAACAGCACTTACCACCATCTCTTAGGCTACTCTTATCTGACTAAATATACTCGGATCTGATTATCATTCTTATAACGTACTCACTACCCCAAAATGAGAAGGGTTCATGATTTGTGGTCTGTTGCCGCAAAAAAAGGGAATTCCGCACTTGGGCGCCGTGAGTGCGATATTTGTTCAGACAAGGGTAGCCCAAACGTTGGCGGTAGGTACTGTTGACTAGCTGCCTTCGCTATAGTATTTCACTTCAAAATAAGGAACAGATAAGTGCAACTAGCCATTTGTGTAGCTTTGCTCAAAAATTCTGAAACAAACAATACTATTTTTCTGAAGAGAAGGAGAGCGGTATTAAAGACATAATTTATCAAATACTGACTTCCCATTCTGGAAGATACAGTTCTTAAACAACTACACTTCCCATGATCTAAAAGATAAAGCCTTGAAGAACCTGGTTTATCTGATAGTATATCTTCTTTAAAGTGGTTGATTGTTTGGCGTTATTTGGCACAAAGCAACAAGGCTATCTTTCAAGTGCAAAAAAAAGACGCTTATGAAAAATTTAATTGGGTTTTTAATGTACTTAAGGAACTCCACGTGTCTTTAATTGGAATTATAACTGGATTAAGAAGAAGTGTTTTAGTAAATATATAAAATTCGAAATATTCAATAAAGTATAACTTATGTGATATAACGGTATATTTGTATATATACGACCAAAAGTAACAAAGTATTTTCTTCTTAGGCAATAACTTAACGTGTCGAAAGCATTTTTAATTACGAATCGCCCCCCCCCATGGCATAGCGGTATGTCTGCGTACTTACAACGCTAGAAACCTGGTTTCGATACCCGTGATGGGCAGAGCACAGATAGCCCCTTGTGTAGCTTTGTGCTTAATTCCAAACAAACAAACAAAGATTACGAATCAGTGAAAAACTTTCAAACCAGAACCTGATGTAATTAAATCATAAGTTAGTCTTGAATTATATATATCTTATGATGTATAGGAACAACAAAATAATGTTCAGTTACCCAAGCAGTCTAACATATAACTACCTTAATTAGAAACAGTATTGCATCCAACAACGGCAGAACATGGGCGAACAGATTCTCCCACACTTCCTCTAAACGGTACAGTAAGCTCTTTTCTGTTGAGAAAGATTATCATAATGTTATTCACATCTTATCCAAAATGTTTCTTTCATAAAAAATAAACTACCAACAGTGAGTATATTATCATTACAATTTTATTGAAAGTTTCAGAATGGAATTTTATCCCTTATATTCTTAACTGAACTTATTAATCGCAAAATAAGATAAAATATACATGAAATAATTACGAATAAATTTGAAAATAAATAATGAATAGTTAACATTTTAACTCTAATTTCATTAAACGATTTCCTAAATAACGAGTTATAGCAAAATAAATATCAATCACACGGTGATGGAAGCAACTGAAATAGATGCATTCAGAAAATCTCTTAAAACCCCTTCTCAAATTGCTTATTCATGAAGAAGCTTAAACTTCAAAAAGTTCTCAAACAAACTGATCCATGTTCTACATTTTTTTAATTACTGTAATTTCATATTGAGGTTATTTATATTTAATGTTTATTTTTCAATTTATGTACTTTTTTTTTCAATTACGCATCTCATGGTGTGTTTATGAAAAGCTTACCAATAAACCGTGTCAAAATTCAATTTTATATCACACCTTAATCATTAAATATAGTTAGATTCGTTCATGAAACTTATTAATCTTGTAAACATAAAGCGTTTCAGTTTGTAAAGTTTAAGTTATTCGTGATCTTAGAAATTGCGTACGATTATTCTCAGAAGAATTAGAATAATACTTAATTTTAGGTGAAAAAAATCTAAATATGTTATTTACATTACTGGGTGTTAAAATTTAACATGAGTTAATAAAAAATATATGATTATTTTAATAATTTTGGTATTAAGCAAATACTGAAATGGAATATGATTAAAATAATTATTTTGGTGCTAGATGTGGCAATAATTTAAAAAAGTATGTATTTAGTTGTTTATTGTTGAATACAATGTTGAGAATTAGTGGGCTGTTTGTTCTCTGCACACCGCGGGTATCGAAACCCGAGTTTTAGTTTTACATGCCCATCAGACTTACCACTAAGCCACCAAGGGACAAACTTCTTTGCATGGAATCATCTCGCATGCTGCAATCGTGAACTATTTGTGAAATGATAAATAAACCATAGACTTTCTTCACCCATTTCTATGTATACAGCTAAAAATATAATTGTAAGGTTATTTCGAATTCGTTCCGTTTCCCGTAAACATTCTTGTATTTGCATAAGTTTAGAAGATACCAAAGCAAATATGTAAGTTATAACGATGGATAACACAATGCTGTGAAATTAATACAAAAAATATAAAGATTCAGAGACGGATGCATAGAAGTAAATAGTGTTAGAACTTTGAGAAGAAAGTGAAGGCACAGGTAACACGTATAAATTGTGAAGGTTAATAGTAGCAATTAATAAGGTTAACAGTCGACTTACAGACCACAGAAAACAAAGAAATAACTAGTAAAAGCCATTAAGGTTAATAATTTTAGATATAGAGGTCAATAGTAAGATTAATGGAATATAATAAGTACGTTGTTAAATAGCAAAAGCTATTCAGTTTGAAAATAGAAAACAAAAAGAGGTTAATTACATAAAGTAGCAGAGATAATTTGGCTGATTTACACTTGCGAATAACAGGATTTATATGGTATAGAGGTCATTAAAGTAACTAGTATAAAACATTAACGTTAATAAGGAAAAACAGGTTATAGCATGACATATAGAATGTAAGAGGCAAAGAGGTAATAACTGCTAGACGTTATTCAGGTTAATGATACGAAATATAAAGGGTACTAGCAGTATTTACACATTATTAGGAAAAATTTGTCGCTAAATATAAGAGCTATGTAGGGCTGACTACTGAACTTGAAAAAGGAACCAAACAAAATAGGGATGGAAGTGAACATATCACTTGATCGGCTAATGGTCACATAACAGACTAAGCCGTCCAAACTTTACAAGTTCAGTGACCAGCTCTACATAATTTTTTTATTTAGCGATTACTTTTTTCCTAATACTTGTTTTATTACTTTTTTATATGGCGTACGTGGGTTACTATGTTATACAGAGTATTTTAAAGCTTTATACATTTTGCATATAATAATAATAAAGTAGGTAGTTAAATATCGTGAAGACTGTTTTGCTCTATCAAATAGTTACTGGTTGAACTAGATAGGCGCTAAGCCTGTTGAAGAAAGATGATGATGAACAAAAATAAGAAATCTCAGTTTTGGATATTCACCACTTTTCGACTTTGGGACGCTCTGGATAGCTGAAAAGCGGCATATACACCGAAGATAGAGTGACTATGCCAAGTAGCTCTTCATATCTAGCTTCTGATAACTTGTAGAGAAAAAATTAAAATTACTTTTGTATTGCTTTAATACGGGCATCCGTGCTATTCCAACACAGAGAGTGCGAGTGCACTCTCCGTTACTGTATAGTAACTAACAGAAATTATTGAAATTGATAATAGGATTCACAGAGATAAAATGGCATAGAGATAAGTACTACACAAGAGATATCATTGAAAAATTTAGAACTAATAGATGTTATTAGAAAAAGGCAGCTGTTCAACAGCATGCACTGCCAATACTTAGGCTGTTAATCGAATAGTGGGATATCATCATCACTTTTATAGCAGGCTCAAAAGTACAGAGTACGTTTGGCAGCAACGAGTCGGGAATCATGAATTCCAGTTAACTGTAACATGTATTCTAGAAGATACGAAGTTAGCCAGTAGATACTACGAGCTGTAATCTTCACGTAGTATGCAAGATATAAAGGTAATTGACAGAAGTTATTGAGATTATTAATAAGGATTTTGGTTAATATATAGTTTGGAGCAACGTGGTTAATAAAGAGTGTAGGAAGCGTAACAGTAACTAGTATAAATTATTGATGCTAACAATAAGACTTAAAAGTATTGAGCATAACAGTAAAAGTTATATATGTTCAAAGTAGAAGATACAACGATTTCGAAAGAATGATAAACTGTAACAATGCATTACCATAAACAATGTTTGTGGAATATTATTAATGACGAAAGAAGAACTTAGAAACTTATTTTTTCTTATTATTATCATAGTTATACGTGATGCAACCAGAAATTGAGATTTGTTCATTTTGAATGTATTTTCTTTGTGTTTTATACTTTTTGAAGCAAATTATATGTTGAACTGGATTGATTACTTTGAAATCCTTACTTATGAATAGGTAAACTCTAATTTTCATACGGAGGCTCTGTTCGTCATTGAGGTTTGTTTGTTTCTTTCTTTTTGAAATTTCGCGCAAAACTACTCGAAGGTTATATGTGGTTTGAGGTACAGTAAAAATATTACAAATGAAAACAACTTCAAGATTTAGTATAATTTCTAGCAAAGAACGTATCAATTTCATAACTGTTACGTTAATTGAGTTACGCAATGAGTTTTTTTTGTGATAATTTCCTTTATAAAATAATTCTAAATTATTATAATTAACCAAAAACAATTACAAGGAACTTACAAAATATTGTGTTTATTTTGACATATTTTGCAATGTATATTGCTTTATGGTAATTCAACTTATTAAAAACATAGAACATAGAGTAACATCAAGAACATATAGACATACCTTTAGATTGACGAATATGTTCTCGAAGGGACATCATTCCTTTGGTTAGTATTTGTTGCTGTGAGGAAAATATAGAAACATCAGTGCATGGGGAACTTACCTTAATGTTACAATACGCTTTAGCTTGCACAGTTATGAAAGACAGTTTTCGTCAGGTTGGAAATACGCCATATAAAAAAGGAAGTAATTTATACAGTCTACGAGTAAATAATTTTCAATGTTAAAACATATGTTGATTATTTAAAACTTTATAACGATATAATAAAAAAATATAACAACAATGAAAGGTAATTTAGATTAGCTACACGCTATTAGTATCATAGTAAATAATGGACCTCATGTTATTTCTTTTATTTGATATAGCGTTCATATATAAATCTAATTGAAGAATAAAATAATTACAGAATTCAGTGCAGAGTTAGCATGATTAGATGAAGTTATGTAAAAAAAAAAGATGATTAGGATAGTGCCAGAAATTTACGTTAGTTCGAGTCAGTTGCAAGTACAGATGTCTAAATATAATCATTCAGAATATAAATATAATATTCTAATAATCTACACTGTATACAAAGAAGATAATAAATCTGGTGTTGTAATAATATCCATATTTAGTGTTACTATCTTGACTTGCTATTTATATATATATTTATTCATACAAAAACGACTTTGTATAATTAATACTGTTCATAGCTCGTAAAATGCCTCTATGAATGCTATATATTATAAATAAAGAAAATACAGACTTCTAAAAGTCAACGATTCAATGAATAGAAGTGGGTTGTTTTATGTTGAAGTGTGAATACTGTTTAATAAGATTTATAAACATTTTGAGGGTGGCCTTGTTACGCCTGTTATTACTTCTATAGAGGCTTGTTTTATTAACAATAGTATATTTTGACATAACAGATACAATCATGAAAAACTGATTACTTACATACAAAATCTACGTGAGCGAGAAAAATAAATTCAATTTTTCCGATTTCATATTTGATTTGCATCAATTTTTATTTACCTTGAAATATTTAATTGACGAAACAAATGAAAAATGTTAAAAACATTAATATTTTGAAACTGTAATAAGTTTTTCAACTTCAATGAATTCATACCAAAGTATGGTATTGTAAATGTTCAGTTTTATGGTAATGTTTTTTCCTCAGTATTTAACCCATTATACGAAGGTTTGTTATTAGAGTTGTTCAGCTTTAACAGATTCATTACAAAGCATGATATTAGGAATGGTCAGTCTTAACAGGCTCATACTAAAGTCTGATAATAGGTTTGTCCAGTTTTAACAAGTCCACACAAAAGTATGATATCAGAATTGTCTATCTTTAACAAGCTCAAGAGTTTTCAAAGGTTGTAACCAAGGTGAGCTCTTAAGTTAAATCAAACTAAAGCTACCATTTCAAATTTTACATAAGTGAACTTTAAGTAAGGCTTATCTTGTTTCTTGTTTGTTTGTTTTTTAATTATAGGCCAGTTAAACAAAGAAATCGATTAACAAGTAGCTTCCGATATTTTCGCGATTTGATTTGTCATAGGTGATCATAGGTTTCGTTGTCCAAAATATGTAATCTGATTTGATTTGTCATAGGTGATCATAGGTTTCGTTGTACAAAATATGTAATCTGCGCACGAAAAATATATTATCATATATTAAAATCTTACCTATGAATTGAATAGTAATACACAAATGTTCGTACCTTATAATATTCGTATATAAACGGACCGGCATTTGTGTTCTGAAGTTTTCTGCAATGAAAAGAAAATGCTATTTAGTATGTTTCTCTTGGAAAAAGTTTTTTCCAAGGGTGAGGTTGTTAGAGGCCCAGAATTCTAGAAGCCTAATTAAAATGATTAAGCATACCTTAAGATTTATGAGAAATATCTTTATTTTCTCTAATAGAAACAATGGCTGTGTGACAATCAATGGGAACATATTTTACCTTCTCTGCATGAAGTCATTACCTTGTCTAAAAATTAACTGGAAATTTTCCAAGTCACACATGGAAAAATAGTTGTGGTACCCCCAAAAAAAGCTTTCGATAGAAAACAAATATTACCGAATCATTTCACTTTTAATCGAGAAAATAATCTTAGCTATTGTTAAGTCATGGATATATATTCAGTAATAAACTACTTTATACGACAGTTTTATTTAAATTATTATCGATCTTTGCATTTCTGTTTCGTCAGGAACAAATTCTGAAATAAATGATGCTTTTAATCCATACGAGTAACACAGATGTTGCAAACTTTTTAAAAATAGCGAAAACTATTGATAATCTGGTCTGACATATCTGAGATATTATATACCTGTTACAAATAAATCATATTGTTTAATATGAAATATTCTGAGACAAATTTCGATGCTATACTGCAGATTTAATAATAGAGATACGTTAAACATTTATATATTAGCTGACCTATTTTAGGCTGTACAAGACACTGAAGAAGTAAACGCTTGCTATAACAGATTACCGCTAGACGAATCCTTTTGGATCTGAAAAGTACTAAGGCCTATAGATATCGTTTTACAAAATAAAAATAGGAAAGTACATTGTAAATAATACAGACTACAAAGACAAGATGTAGTAGACATTACCTTAGTTAAAATAAAATAAATCTTGAAACCTAGCCTGGTCTGATATTTAAGAAGGAAATAGATAAGATATAACAGAGACCAGTCTTACCGTAGAGTTTCGTGTAAAGAAGCAAGCTCTCCAACCTCCAAGACTGGTTGTGGTCTTTGAAACAAACCTACAATTATCTTCTGAAGGCTGAAGGTTGAACATGAAGAAAACAAAAGCAAATAGTCAGTATAACAGCAAGACTTTTCGTTACAGCTTTCCAAATACAAGTACATACTTATACATCATAATATATGACTACTCACCCGCATTTTTTCTCATCGGGTGTATTGAAAAACTGAACATTTTCTTCTAGTTGTGTCCCTTAGCTGAAAAAAATTATATAATTGCATCTAAAGTAAACTTGTTCTTTCAGAAGCAAATAGAAAATAGTTTGATTAAAGAAGTGTTTGTAGCTTGCAAAATAAAAAATTCTTAGGCAGATCGTTCATCCGTAAGGGTTCTTTGCATCTTTATACTTTGGGTGAAATTAATAATATATCGCGTTTTCTGTTTTGGAGGAAGTGGTGTTTGTTTTATGCTTCTACGAAAAATTGGGATATATTGGAGACTGTATTATCACTGATTTGGCGGGTTTGGACTTTCGACTATTTTTCAGCTCCTGTATGACAATCGCATTCAAACAAATGTCATTTTCTTTTCTGTTACCTAAATATTGTTGAAGAGTTTTATTTTTGCTTACAACAGGGAGAGGTAGTTAAAAACAATAATCCTTTTTAAACTTCCGCATTCATTGTTTATGACATAAATTATACATTTTTGATACAGAAAAGAAAAAAAAATGAGTGTATCTTTGATTTGCTGTTTTAAAGCCCCTATCATTAAGGGGTACTTTCTATACATTAGAAAATAGTCACTCACCTGTCCCACTCATCCTTTTCACCTGAGATGGCGCACTTCCGCTGATGATGTTCTCTGTGGTATGAATTACCAACGAGCGATAGTTCTCCATTCTCTGGCACGTCTGGTAAAATACCGCAGTTGCGACGAATAGTGTGGGGAGCTGCTACGGACCCTAAAGTCTGTAGAGACTGAAGACTGATAGCACTCATACTCTTGTGAAAAGTCTGTGGAGATCGATGACTAGATTCCTGCATGATTTCTAGATGTCATGTACCCATCAAGCTATATTCAAACTACTCATTTATTTTGGTGTTATTCACGCATTTCACACCAACAGCTTCCAAACGTTATTGTAGCTCATCTGCAGGTGTATACATCATGTTGCACGAAGATCACCGTAGTTACTGAATAAAGTACAAACGTTCACTCATTCATCAGCAGCTGGTCAACGTGACGTTAACAGCCTTACAGCATACAGATCACGTGGGGTAAGTCGGTGAAAGTTAGCGAATGCACACACACACACAGTGAAAACAAAATTATACCCTTAGGCAATCTAGATGTAAAAAGACATTCGACAGCAGTAGGTTGGTACCTCTAGTGACTGTTTTCAAGTATATGATCATATTCTACATGTTGCTATATCTGAAATTCAATTACACAAAGTGGCAGAGAAACTGGCTACAAATCGAAAGGGCAATAAAAATGGACTACTTCCTCGTTCATGTTCACTTCCTGTTCAATAAAAATATTTTTTCTCCCTATCTTAAACGTTTTGCAGTTGATGGTTGTAGTTTCTTCATGTTAGGTAACGTTCGATGTGTGGCTTGGGTATTTAACGCACTCTATAATACTTCTATTAACTGTGTATTTGCCGCTGTGTTACTTATTATTAGTTATTAAGAGCGAAGAAGCAAATCTCATGCCTGAAACACCTTTGACTCAACCAAGAAATAGAACTATTTAGTCATCATGATGATTTCCGCGGAACTGAAGATCAACACCTATAAGAACAGTCACTAAACTCAATTACTATAGTTCATATATCCTTAGTAAGATTTACTTTGGGTGTCTTAAAGAGTTTTATTTGTTAATTTTATTGAATTTCGCGAGGAAGTGATAAATGAACTAAACGACGAAGAGGTAGACCTCATGTGATTTTAGGCATAGCGTCTAATTTTGAACAGCGGACCATAGGGAGCACAACCAGTCAGCAGCAACCACTGTGGGAGGTTGCTATTCTTGTAGTCAAATAGCGAAATTAACTGCTACTCTTATAACGCAAAACATTTCAAACCCGAGACCCTTGGATTTCCAGTCCGATACGTTAATCACTAAGTCGCTCTCGGTCCAATTTGTTTGTTTATTTTTGAATTTCGCTAGCCATCCCTAATTTAGCAGTGTAAGACTAGAGGAAAGGCAGCTAGTCATCACCACCCACCGCCAACTCTTGGGCTACTCTTTTACCAGCGAATAGTGGGATTGACCGTCACATTATAATGCCCCCACGGCTGAAAGGACGAACATGTTTGGTGGGACAGGGATTCGAACCCGCGACCCTCAGATTGTGAGTCGAGCTCCTTAACCACCGGGTCATGCCGGGCCCTCTCGGTCCAGAAGAAATCCCATTCTGTGATGTATAATTTTAATAATGCTTGAATGGGTAATGAAGAAACTCCATGCCAAGTTTAACATGGTAACTAATATACAATATTTTGACAAAGTTTTGTCATCATCAGGTATGAGTAATTTACATAGGAATATATATATATAGTATGGAACAAAGCGGCCAAATGACTGAGATTGCTTAACAGCTTAGTAAAAGCATCTTGGCAGTCAGGGGTGTTGGTTTAGAGTGGGCTATTTTGTTCAATTAAGATTGCTTCCTTAATTTTCCGTTTATTGATGTTTGGTTCTTTCTTTAAAATGACATTATTTTTACTAATTTTACTAAATATTCTCAAGGCCCGCATGGCCAGGTGGTTAGGGCGCTCGACTCCCAATCTGAGGGTCGCGGGTTCGAATCCCGTCCCACCAAACATGCCGTGGGGCGTTATAATGTGACAGTCAATCACACTATTCGTTGGTAAAAGAGTTGGCTGATGATGACTAGCTGCCTTCCCTTCTTACACTGCTAAATTAGGGACGGCTAGCGCGAAATTCAAAAACAAAATATACTCAAATATAAATAGTGCGCGCTACCTAGAGCCGCTATGTTCGACGCGATTGCAGGTAACTCGCTACATTTTTAATATAAATTATAATAATTTGTATATTGTATATAATTATATTTTGTATAATTGTATAATATTATATATATATATATATATATTGTTTCGGACTTAAATTAGTCTTGCCTAATCTACCTGACATATTCAGCTGATTCGATCTGTAGCAATGACTTGCTGGCTATCCGTAACGTAATATATATATAAAGCGTTTTTTGTATTTGTTTATAATATTGTTATATTTAATATTTACTGTTTAAATGTTTAGTTTAATTTAATATTAATTTAGAAGGTTTGTTAATTTATTTTTATGTCAAAATTTAGCGTAGAAGTACTGTTGATTGTTTTATTAAATTCCTGAGCTGGAGAATTCTAGCAGAAACTTTTCTTGGTTAAAACGTTTTATATATTATATATATTATTATAAATCGTGATTAATAATATACGTTATATTATATATTATTATTAATAAAATGATGAATAATATATATATTTATAATATTATATATTATGTATATTATATATTGTTATATAGTTATTATAATATATAATAGTATTATATACTTTCGTATAATATATTGTATATATTTATATTTACACTACATTTTGCTTACGTAAAACTATCAAACGTGTTACGTGATGCAGTTGCTGTCGTGAACATGTTGTGTCCTGATTGAACTTTTACAGTACAGCAACAAGACGTCATTTCGTCACTTCTCCTTATTTCCGTTCGTCATTCCATCAAAGCAATATTTAGCGCGAGATTGCGTCGTAATGTACATTAGCTAATGTTATAAAATGGAATCTGGTAAAAAAGATGACGTTTCTTTATAGATGTTTTTAACAGTGAGTCTAATCGTGGAAGCAGCCATCAGTGGACTTACATAATAGCTATTTTGAGCGACGGTACATTCAAGAGAGTGTCCGGAATGCTATTTACGAAGGTCCAGACGCTTTCGAACAAACAGAGCTGTAGCACCGTAGCAGCTGACCTTATACAACAAGAACTGGGTAAACATTTGAATAAACAGACCCATAGCACCGTAGCAGCTGACCTTATACAACAAGAACTGGGTGAACATTTGAACAAACAGACCCGTAGCACCGTAGCAGCTGACCTTATACAACAAGAACTGGGTGAACATTTGAATAAACAGACCCATAGCACCGTAGCAGCTGACCTTATACAACAAGAACTGTTTGAACATTTGAACAAACAGAGCCGTAGCACCGTAGCAGCTGACCTTATACAACAAGAACTGTTTGAACATTTGAACAAACATACCCATAGCACCGTAGCAGCTGACCTTATACAACAAGAACTGTTTGAACATTTTAACAAACAGAGCCGTAGTACCGTAGCAACTGATCTTATAACAAGAATTGGGTGAACATTTTGTTGTTCCATGCGCTACGCGGTGGAATTCTATGTACCATATATTCGTTCCCCTGGAGAGCATAATAACTAAGAGAGAGGGTTCAGTCAATAAATTGTGTGATGAGCTGGGCATCGCTCGTTTCAACCTAGGTAATATAAATTTCATCAAATAATACGTAATCGTCATGCGACCTATAGCACACGCACTGGATTTACTTCAAAGTGAAACCAAGTCCTATGGGACTACTTCTGCCAACACTTACCGTATGTTGGACAAAACTGAAAGATCTTTAAGATAAACAACTTCAGACTTGCAAGTCACTTGTTAATGGTTTAATTTCAGGAATTTGGAGGCGCTTTGTTTGTTTGTAGTTATGCACAAAGCTACACAATGGGCTATCTGTGCTCTGCCCACCACAGGTATCGAAACCCGGTTTATTTGAATTAGAAGTTTCTTAGTTTTCTTTTGGATTCTTTTTAAAGATTTAAATATTTCTATTCTTTTGTAATTTTTCTTTGTTCCCTTTTAGTCATTTTATATCGATCTAGT